GGGCTACTTTTTTACCAACGAATAGTGGGCTTGACCAGAACATTATAACGCCACCACGGCTTTAAGGGCGAGCGTGTTTGGTGGGACGGGGATTCGAACCCGCCACCCTCAGATTACAAGTGGAACACCCTAACCACCTGACCTTGCCGGGTCCATTGCTTCTGATTCAAAGATTGACTCGATTTTCTTCTTAACTTATTGTTTTAAACTTAGCATAAAATGTATTTTTTATTCACTTTCGTTAAACACAAAGAAATGCCTTAAATTACTACAGTTGGTATCAAATTTTAATTATACAAAAACGTGTAATATACGAGATTACTAGCTTATAGTAGAGATCAAAAACTGTGATTTAAAGAAAATTTTCTTTCATATAGGCGACTTATATACTCCAGCGAGCGGACCCAACGACTAGCACGTGCTATTCCAGAGAAACAGTCGCTACGTGGAAGTCGATCAATGGGCAATACACTCTTCATTCATCTGACTTGAAGGCCACGGATATTAAGAATTTCAAAGGAAGAACATTAAAAGTTGGTTGTGTGCATGTAAGTCCATATTTAATATTAGAAGCATGCGATCTACTGTAAATCTACGGGGCATGACAAAACTCAACAATGCGCAAGACTTTAAAGAAAACTATATATACGTCAAAAAGTTAATTTTGAATTGAATTGTAACTGTTTATGTATATACATGTGTTTGTGTGTGTTTAAACGTATGAACAATTCAAACCAACATGTAATTCTGTAAGGCGTGAAGTTAACCAGGAAACATTCCACGTAGCTTTCTTCCAACAGTATAGTATCTTCCAAGGAAAGAATATTTTCAAATACTATTCACATGACATTTACTTAGAGTCAGGAGAGTGTCAGAGTGGCCGTAGTAAATACACAATATTATTAGTGTACTCAGTATCTATGGGTGTATTGAGTTAGACTGTGAAATGTTCTGGAAGCTTTGTGCTATGAAAGTTTGGGAATCCCTGCCCTACTTCTTCATTTGGTTCAACTAGTTTCCAGTTTTGGGTGAAAACCTAAATATTTTCAGTTCTTGAAAAATATATATACATGAGCTATAATAACTATATCAAGAACTACAAGAACGATGTTCCTCAAATCTCCAATCGTGCTCTGTCTGATGGCCGCAATTTCCACTGTAACAAGCTTCTGTGAATAACAGTGGAGTCCATTCTAAAAGCTGCGATGGGAGACTTGATGAATATTGTTTGCGTGTTTGTTTTTATAGCAAAATCACATTGGGCTATCTGCTGTGTCCACCGCGGGGGAATCGAGCCCCAGATTTTATCTCTGTATGTCCGTATACTTACCACTGTTCTACCGGGATATCTTGACAAGTATGTGGTTTAAAGTGATTTCCGAAATTCTAGTTTCATCAATTATATTTTCACGGAAACAAATCTTGATTTCGATGGGCCGCTGGAAGCTTGTGAGCTTTAGGCCTTTGCAATTTCGAATTCTTGCTTATTATATAATTAATAGTACCACAGTGACCCTGGATTGGTCTATACGAAATTCCTTTCTTGGAAAGGGCTGTCACATCTTCCTCCAACCAGAAGTCTACGTGGAGGCATCGAATGATAAACGTGTGATCTGTAGCGCTACAACTCGTATCTGCGACGAAGCGCCACTGTATTACTATAAGCAAATATTTCTTGTTTTGTTTTGTTTGTAATTATGCACAAAGCTACACAAGGGCTATCTGTGCTCTGCCCACCACGGGTATCGAAACCCGGATTCTAGCGTTGTAAGTCCGCAGACATGCCGCTGTGCCACTGGGGGGCAAATATTTCTTATATGTATATAATGTGTAATTTAAAAGTTATTTTTCTTATCTAAACGTTAACCACCCAGTCTTTCTAATTTGTTTTTCATTCAATCTAATGAAAATAGTTAAGTATGCGTTCGTATATAGAGAAAAACAAATAAATATGCGTGTGTGTGTGTACATTTTGGGTTTCTGCTGCTCTCCAAATTATTATTTTTTTGCGTGATGTAATTACAGGTTTTCCCATTTTTTATGCTCAACATTAGAGAAGAAAAAGTGGAAGGAACCGGAGGAATCGAATTCCATCTCCTCAAGACAATGGCTCAATACCTGAATTTTAAGTACGTTTATAAAGTAATCTTAAACTATCAACATTCCATGTTATCAGTAACAGTTAGTAAAGTGCAAACAACTTATAATCATGTTTAAGGACCACTAAAATGTTAAATAACTAAGTTATACAGTCTTCACAGTTCACAATAGAGCTTCTACGAAAATTAACAGGTGTATTTCGTATGTTATCATGTTTAAGGACCATTAAAATGTTAAATAAATAAGTTATACAGTCTTCACAGTTCACAATAGAGCTTCTACGAAAATTAACAGGTGTACTTCGTATGTTATATGGGTGTCATGCAGCGTAAACAC